CTGTTGCTGTTGCTGCTGTTGCTGATTAGCCAGCAGAACAAGCTGGTGAGAAACTACCAGCAAAAGTAACAAAAAATCACGAGATTACGACACACACACACACACCAGAGCGGGGAGTGCCGCCACCGCCGTACAAAGGCTGTGCTACTTTTTTCCTCATCTCGTCTTTTCTTACACTTTTATTATCAAAAAAAACTCTTCTTTCCGCAACCATTGCACAGCACAGTCTGTCCAGTACTGAGCAGTGAAGCAGTCTGATCAGCATCTCGGTTTTTCTTTTTATGCTGAAGTTGCCAGTTTGTTTAATGCTACCCCGCAATCATCATCATCATCATCATCATCATCATCATCATCATCATCATCATCATCATCATCATCATCATCATCATCATCATCATCATCATCATCATCATCATCATCATCATCATCATCATCATCATCATCATCATCATCATCATCATCATCATCATCATCATCATCATCATNAAGAACTCCATTACCGCTGTCAAGCCGAAGACACAACAGCAGCAGCAGAAGCAGCAACAACACTGGCTTCGACAGCAGCAACTTCTGCTGTGGCTACTTCTTCTTCTTCTTCTTCTCGTACTTTTTCTCCTCTCCACCTCCTTCCTGCCCTTTGTCTGCTGCAGTCGACTGAAGAGTCCATCACCTGCATCTTTACTGACACCACTTTCACCTCAAACCCAACATCAGCGGTCATCATCACCATCATCACCATCACCACCACCACCCCCTGAAAACTTCCCCGGCCTGTCAGATCAGATTCACCACCTTCCCGAGCTGGACCTGACCTCCTTTCCAAATGGTCAGTTACCGTTTCGCCACTTTTCCGGCTACTTGAATTCAACCAACTCCACCAGCCGCCTCTTTTACTGGTTCTTCGAGTCGGCCAATTCGACAACCGACCCTCTGGTCTTATGGCTAAACGGCGGCCCCGGCGTCAGCAGCCTCACCGGCGCCCTCCTCGAGACGGGGCCCCTCTCGATGCAGGCGAATGGAACGCTGAGACGGAACCAGTACTCGTGGAACACCAACGCCAACCTCCTCTTCATTGACACGCCGGTCAATGTGGGCTTCTCCTACTCGACAAGCTTCAACTCCGCAAACTCCACAAACTCCACAAACTCCACCACCACCACCACCGACGACCTCCGCACGGCGGAGCTAAACTACGCCGCTCTGCAGTCCTTCTACCGGAAGTTCCCCCACCTCCTTCAGAACGTGCTCATTCTGGCCGGCCAGAGCTACGCCGGCGTCTACCTGCCCACCCTGGCGATGCACATCCTGGAGCGGAACTTTCCGCCCCACTTTCGCGGCATCTCGCTGGGCAATCCGCTCCTCGACCACCGCTACGTCGTCCACTCGCCACTTCAGCTCGGCCACGACCACCGGCTGGTCAATGAGACCGTTTGGCGGCGGCTGTTGAAGGAGTGCAACTGTGGCGGCGGTGATGATAATAACTCCCAAAACTCCAGCGACAGTACTGACGCCATCCTCTCCTGTCCCTTCCTCCCGCTCACCTGGACCAGCTCCTCGCTGCCCGAGCTGGAGCCGCCCACCTGTGACGCCCTCTACCACCAGATCTACCTGCACCTGTACAAGCTGGCGCACAACGCCTACAACTACCGCCAGAGCTGCGCCACCCGCGAGGACACCTTCATCTGTCGGACGGAGCGCGACGAGGCCGCCTTCCGCTGGCTCAATCGAGCCGACGTACAGCGGGCGCTTTCCGTCGAGTCTCCCCCGATGGAGGTGAGGGGCAACGTTTCCGGTTCCGGAAACGGAAGCACTACCACCACCACCGTCCTTTGGATGCCCTTCACAGAGCGCGTACGCCGGCGCTACCAGCAGAGCGTGCGCAGCGTGGAGCGGCACTTTCGCCGGCTGCTCGCCCGGCGCATCCGCGTCCTCCTCTACTTCGGCGAGCTCGACCTCACCTGCACCTACATCAGCGGGCGCTGGTTTCTCGCCGATTTGAAGCTCCGCGAAGATCAGAGCTCGACGACTGAGCAGGCTAATTTATTCAGCAAAGGGTCAGAGAGGTCAGAGTTCACCGTACAGCGGTACAGCGGAGAAGTGGGCGGCCANTTCCTCCTCTACTTTGGCGAGCTCGACCTCACCTGCACCTACATCAGCGGGCGCTGGTTTCTCGCCGATCTGAAGCTCAGCGAAGATCAGTCGACGGCGGAGCAGGCTAATTTATTCAGCAAAGGGGAGAGGTCAGAGTTCACCGTACAGCGGTACAGCGGAGAAGTGGGCGGCCAGCTGACCTTTGTACGGCTGAAGGAGGCCGGCCACCAGGCGGTCAGGGACCAGCCCGCCCTTCTGCAGAAGCTCTTTCGCCAGTTCTTGGCAACAGGTATTTCAAACTTTTAAGTTTTTTTCGGATTCCGTTTTTCCGTTTTTTCCTTTTTTTTGTTAACTTGAATACAACAAAAACAGAACAACTAATAAAGATATCACTGATAACTGAGACAAAGAGTACCTTGAAATTAATCTTGAAAGAATGCTCTCCCTGGCGACAATCGCCGCATTGCGCGTGCTGGTTCGAAGGGAGGGGCTGTCCAAAGGGGCGTCATCTGAGGAGGAGACTTTCTTGGGGGTTGGCATTGGTTGGTCGCTNCAGATTCCGTTTTTTATTTTTTTTATTTTTTTGTTAACTTGAATACAACAAAAACAGAACAACTAATAAAGATATCACTGATAACTGAGACAAAGAGTACCTTGAAATTAATCTTGAAAGAATGCTCTCCCTGGCGACAATCGCCGCATTGCGCGTGCTGGTTCGAAGGGAGGGGCTGTCCAAAGGGGCGTCATCTGAGGAGGAGACTTTCTTGGGGGTTGGCATTGGTTGGTCGCTGGTTGAACAGGTCACGCGGACGAATGATGCGCTTTCCCTTCGGCTGTCTGGGAGTGGCAANTCACTGATAACTGAGACAAAGAGTACCTTGAAATTAATCTTGAAAGAATGCTCTCCCTGGCGACAATCGCCGCATTGCGCGTGCTGGTTCGAAGGGAGGGGCTGTCCAAAGGGGCGTCATCTGAGGAGGAGACTTTCTTGGGGGTTGGCATTGGTTGGTCGCTGGTTGAACAGGTCACGCGGACGAATGATGCGCTTTCCCTTCGGCTGTCTGGGAGTGGCAAAGGCAGCAGGAGCAGCAGGAGCAGCAGCCACGGTTGGAGCCTGCTTCTGCTTGGGGTTGGCCACTGTGACCAGCGACCGGTGGTGACCAGCGACCGGGTGAGTCGTCGCTTCGGGTCGATGTCGACGAGGG